ATTAGGTATCGTGTTATAGACGGACTAAACCTCCGATTTATGTATCCTTTCCAGTCCAGTGGAGTTGCGGTCTAATCTCTCGGGTCCATCTAAATTCAGCCATCCGTCTTTCCTCTCAGCTCGAATTTCGTTCTTTGGTATTATCTAACATCTACTCGGGTTATGGGCGCCTGGTATTTGTACTGTGGCAATGTACGTATTTTTAATATAAAAAAAAATACCTGGGTGTTGTAAAAAGTCGTAAAATTAATTGTATTACAATCGTTATTGTCTTCGAGAGATGGGAAACGTAATTAAACTTTCAAAAGTAAACTTGTTTTTGTTCAATAACGTATGCAACATTGTTTGTCTGAAATTATCTGCTCGTCAACAACAAAAGTTGTTTTCTTTGTACTGGGAGACTTTATTAAACAAATTCTGTTACAAACAAAATTATTTTCGACAAGCGGCTGGCTGCCTTCATCAGTATTCCGTGGCATCCCCACGACGATTGGTTCGAATGCTAATCAAATTTCTTGTTTTTGTTCGGGTCGACCTTTTGTCTAATTTAACGAGCTCGTCCTATGTAAACGGCCGCTAGAAAATATGTTTGCTCCTGTCCCCTCATGAGAGCCTGGTATGTGCTTGTACATATTTACTGGTGGTGGAGCAAATTTTGAACCCTCGCAGGGCGGTATCACTGCTAGTAATATGTCCAACGCTTAGCCGATCTTTTTAATAGCTCAGAACGACATATGAGTCGATGACCTCCTTGAGCTTAAGTGTATAAGTTTGAAATCTTAATTACCTGTGTAAAACGGAACGCATGATTGTTTTGCGGTAGATTATTAGTTTATAAATAAAGAGATTAGAATAGAATAAATCAGTCGTATCTTCTTAGATTAAGGTTTCAGTATGTATAAAGATACGTCACTACTCGATCCTGAGTGCCTTACAATTTCAGATAAATTTCAAATTCGATATCATGAGAGTAAAGTACATAAGATAAAGAGAAATCTTGGTGTAGAACAGTCCGTATCGCCAGCATCGTGTAGGGCGAAATAGCCCTCCTGAGGGATTCCTCAGGGTATCTTGAATGTTTAAAAAATTACTCAATTCTAGTTTTGCCTTTTCGAGGCTTAAAATAGTACTACGTAGCAAGAGAGCCAGCGTGAACTCAAATACAGCCAAATTATGAGTATAGCTTCACTAAGAAACTTACGAAATATAACTTTGTTGATATGGCATTCGATTCAACTGTATTTACAGTTTTATAGAGTTTTATTATTTATTCGACATTCTTTATTGTAGGTAACGTTAAGTTTATTTTTTTTGTAATAAAACTATGATTCTAAATATTGAATATAATTTAAGCCGTTTGTTGGTACAAAGTTTTTTTTGTTTTTTATTGCTTAGATGGGTGGACGAGCTCACAGCCCACCTGGCGTTGAGTGGTTACTGGAGCCCTTAGACATCTACAACGTAAATGCGCCACCCATTTTGAGATATAAGTTCTAAGGGTCTCAGTATAGTTACAACGGCTGCCCCACCCTTCAAACCGAAACGCATTACTGCTTCACGGCTGAAATAGGCAGGGTGGTGGTCGCGCGGACTCACAAGAGGTCCTACCACCAATAATAAAAGATTTTTAAAGGCGTAGAAGAGCCAACGAGCTCATAGCTCACCTGATGATACGTGGTTATTGGAGAAATTAATTATGCAAAATAACCTTCTAATGATGTTGATATTTAATACTAGTCAAACCCTAGCTGGCTCTGCTTAGCCGCTCTTTGACGGGACCAAACTTCAAAGGATCGCCCGCAGGCTAATCTGAACATTTCCTGAAAATTTTATTGAAATCGGCTCAACCGCTTCAAAGTCTATAAGAAACATACACACACAGACACATCGACACATGTATGTCTTATTGCTTTTTTTTTTTGGTCAGGAGGAAATCGCCGGGTTCCGCTCTCCACTGGGGATGGAGGGCGGGGTACGTCAGAGTCGAACTGACCTCCTGTCGCTCAACAACCAACGTCCAAACCTCGCATGAGACAGAACTCATGAAAAGGCAAAGGGGGGAAAGTGAAGCGTTTAGTGCGGAGCACATCTCTCCCATCACCCTCCCCATTGCTTAGCGTTCAAAATATTTATTAACGATGATTTAATTAAATAAAAATAATCTCATAATTACTGGTTTCGTTTGTGAAATATTCATATCGATGGTGCTCATTGGAAATACTAATTGGTTTCAGGTTACTATGATGTTTCAAAATATATTTTTTTATTTCGAAGCAAAAAATTACCTTTGAATTTTATCAAAGGGAAAAAGATCGGTTGGGTTGCGGAGTTTAAAATTGTATAATTTTTGTTATGGGAATAAATTTTATATTAGTAACTGTAAAATTAAAGTGTCAACATATATAAAATGTTACATAATATTAAAGAAAAAAGTGTTCACAAGATGTTACACATTAAGAACAGTAAACATTGCATAGAATCACAGCCCACTGAGTTTCTCGTCGATCTTCTCAGTGGGTTGCTTTTCCGATCCGGTGGTAGATTCTGCGAAGCATGGCTGTTGCTAGGGCCAGTGTTAGCAAAACCTCCGGTTTGAGCTCCGAGAACTCACCTACACGCTAGGGTAAATCTGACATCTAGGTAGGAAAAAAATAGAATCGCTTTGATCTTACTTACTTTGGAAGTCGTCGTGGCCTAAAGGATAAGACGTCCGGTGCATTCGTATGTAGCGATGCACCGGTGTTCGAATCCCACAGGTGGGTACCAATTTTTCTAATGAAATACGTACTCAACAAATGTTCACGATTGACTTCCACGGTGAAGGAATAACATCGTGCAATAAAAATCAAACCCGCAAAATTATAATTTGCGTAATCACTGGTGGTAGGACCTCTTGTGAGTCCGCACAGGTAGGTACCACCACCCCGCCTATTTCTGCCGTGAAGCAGTAATGCGTTTCGGTTTGAAGGGTGGGGTAGCCGTTGTAACTATACCGAGACCTTAGAACTTATATCTCAAGGTGGGTGGCGCATATACATTGTAGATGTCTATGGGCTCCAGTAACCACTTAACACCAGGTGGGCTGTGAGTTCGTCCACACATCTAAGCAATAAAAAAAAAACATTGTCCTTACGAGAAAAAAAGGCCTCTTTCGGAAGTCTGCATCAACTGCCGTGTTTTTTTCTGACTTTTTCTGTAATTACGGATGCGCATTCCGTAAATTTTGCGTTTAGCTGAGTTCTGTTCTTTCTCAAAAAATTTGATAAATGTTAAACCCAAGACTCCCTATGGATGTTTTCACGTTAGCAAAATTCTGGCACATAAATATATAGGTATGACCCGGGTCGTTACCCCCCCGGACCGGGTATCCGTAAATGGATTCCCCAGCGGTAAAAAAAAAAAAGGTATTACATTGATTTCATACAGTTCAAGATGTAAAAACCCCTGAATTAATAATATAAATAAGGCTTAAAAATTATATACTATAAATTATATAAATAAATAACAGAAACACATCTACTGCATATCTATACTAATATATAAATCTACAGTGGTTTTTACGGGTGTTCCGTTATAACTACTGAACCATGCATCCGATTGACTTGAAATTTAGTATCCATGTAGAAAATACATGTACTTAATGGATAGGCATATTTATATGAGTGTTGGACTCGCTACACCAGTTGCGGGGGCGTTCATAAAGAGAATCTTTGTGGTGGTAAGAAATAATAATGTTAATTTTAAATGCCCAGCGAAGCGGATGGGTACAGCTAGTAATATAATAAGGCTTAAAAAATTATATACTAGGGCACCATAAATAACAGAAACACTACTGCATATATTATATTTATATATACTGTATTTGGTAGACACCGGCAGCGGTTTAGCTGTCGCCGTATACTTCTATATCGGATTCGTGGAATTGCATCCGTTCGATCGTGAAATGGAACACGGAACGTCAGCGGTGCTCCTTCAAATATCTCCCATGTATCATGTTATCCTGGTACTATTGGAAAAATATTATTATTTTATTATCTTTATATTTCTCGAGGATTCTTATTCTCGTTGTTTCTTATCTGAATCTTATATATAAAATTCTCGTGTCACAAGAACAAACAGAACATTACGCCGAATTCGCAGAACCAATAAGGACCGGTCTCGCTTCAAGATGAACTTCAAACATCAATGTTAGTTACCATAATAATATTCCTCTGAAACGGTTTGACCGATTTTTATGAAATTTTATATGCACGTTCAGTAGGTCTGAGAATCGGCTACTATTTATTTTTCATACCTCTTAAGTGTTAAGGGTTGTCCATTTTCTCCTGTGAAAAAAAAATCCCTAACATTTATTTTTTATTTTTTGCACAATTTGTTTTTTTGTTAAAATGAGGCATTATGTGGTTGAATGAGGTTTTGTTATTTTTATATTCCCTGATAGTTTACAGCCCTACATGCTTCTTTCACTCATTTGCCACATCCTTATACACTTACAATAAGTTAGGTTTTTTTTACACTAGAAATTCCCTAGAAATCTTATATATAGCAAAACAACGTTTGCCGGGTCAGCTAGTAAATTCTATATTTTAATGCTTTTCGATCTGTCTACTCAGATGATTAAGAATTATAATTTAAAAAAATCTGATTGAAAATCAGGTCTCGAAGGCGGCCATCAAAACGATGGACTCATCCACTCGTGCTTACGGAGAGCCTGATAATAAACAAACAGAAGCAGATGCCGGGTGCTGTGAGAGGGCCACGTCAGCCAATAAAATTACGTCATGACGACAACGACCACTCTGAAAATGGCCTTAAGGCCTGAACAATAAAGCTTAATATAAGTTGTTTTGTTTTAAGTTCATAATGTGAAGTGGGAGTTGTAAGAGCAGGTGGCGCAAAGTACAGGGAAGATTGTAAAGTTTTATTACTTTAAATGCAGCTTTTGGTTTGTTAGAATTTTGCACGAGTTTGTTCTTCGAAATAATTACGAGTTCGTTCGCTTGCAACATCTCATATACACTTCGGTTGATCGCATCACTTATTTCAACAAAATTACATGAGAGATACAACTTCATAATATATTTAAAGATGAAGAAGAACTAAAATATAACGGAAAAATCACCATACGTCTTGAAGTCAAACGTTCGTGTTAGAATGACTGTCTTTTCCTTCAAATTGGAACAAAGATTTCGGAACTCAGAAATTACTAGCTTTGAGTAAAAAAGGTAATTATGGCATACATTATCTGTTGAACAACACACATATGGAGTTGTAACATATTTTGTTTGACGTGCCTAACATTAGATTATGTTGGATTTAAAACAAAACAAAAAGCTTAGACAAAAAATGAAATTACCAAAAAAGATACTTGGAAAATAAAACGATTAAAATCATTTTTGTGTTCGATAAATTGATTCACCGCACTCGCATATTCCGCAATTCCCAAATAAGTCGCGTCACCAAAAGCCAACCCAAATCGTCCCAAGAAGAGCTCTAAATGTAAACTAATTTAAAAAAAAAGCAACGATTTATTCATGCTCACGTCAATTTATTCAAATATTAACGTTTAATATAAATTAGGGCACACGGTTTTCCAGTTATCGCAACAGGGGCGGCCCTCATACAAGCTCACTTCGCAGTTTACGTACACGCCTGGCTTCAGGTTTGAGTACGCCATGAAGGATATCGTCGTGAGGAGGTTGGACAGGAGCTGCTTCACCCCGACAACCTTATGCACCTTGAACTTGTGCTTGATGTTGTGTAACTGAATGTACTTCTCGATCGCCCTGTTGGCGTGTTTCCAATAGATTGGATTGTTGCAATCTTTACGGAGCCATCCCAGAGTTCTCTTCTCTCTTGACACCTTGAAATAAATATACTATTAGACGGCTGAACCTCTAGTGGTCGAGTGGTTTGTAAGATTGGTCCAGGCTAGAACCCCGGTTGTAGTCGGCGTTGTTGTTGCCTAGTATCTTTCCGACACCTTCGGCGCGCACTGTGCGGTACAGTGGGTTTCGTGAAGTCGGAGTGGTGGGGCTCGATGGGGTTTAGTCGGTAGTCGGTTTTGCGGGGGCTGACGCCGTGCAGTGCCTCGCGCACCTTTCTCAAGGCGTAATCTCCCGGCAGGAATTGGGAAAAGAGGAGGACCCCTGTCTTCTTCTTCTCCCTGTTCTTCTCTGGAGACGCCGGAGTCCGACATAACCCGGTCTCTTACCCCTCTCGACTGGGTAACCGTAAATGGATTCCCCAGCGTTAAAAAAAAAAGTATCTTTCCGACACCCATAATACAGGATTTGATCCTACTTAGAAATGTTGAGTTTCTTTCCTACCTAAGCTGATAGCCTTGAGGGGCTATGTCAGCGTAACCTTAGTAGATGAGCTCACGGGGCTCAAACCCGAGAGGAGTGTTGCTAACACTGGCCCTAGCAAGAGCAGTGCTTCGCAGAATCTACCACCGGATCGGAAACGTGACCCACTGAGATGATCCGGCGAGAAACTCAGTGGGCTGTGTTTCACTCGTCGAGCCCTTCGTCGCAAGCGACGGGTTCGACGTGGACGGTGACCGGGATGTTGAATAATAAATAATCTAATGTATTATTGTTTTGTCTTTTAGGTTACGACTTTTTAATTAGAGAGAGTAGGGAAGTTATTTTGGTCAACCCACAATACTCATCAAATAAAAAGGAAATCGGTCAGAAACTGCCTGGTAGGAATTTATCTGAATTTCCCTGTACGTATTTATTGTATAAATGTATGTATAGACTTGACTTCATCGATATTGGACTTATAATCACAGAACACTCAAAATTTACATTAACTTTTTTGTTTTTTGTTTTGTTGTTGAAAATTTAAGGAAAAACAAAATGCGACGTTAATCGATATATCGACATATCGATTGAATAATGAAGAAGGTAAATGGTATTTCTGTGTTTTTTATATTTGCCTGTTTACAATGATTAGTAGTATTTACAGCTGTTGTTGGTAATTTTTTTTATGATTGAAATATTACTGGTGGCCCGGAGGCCTTTCCAGTTTCACCAGGACATGTGGGCGAGCAAAGGCTCAACCAGGAGGGGTGGGATTTGCTAACAACTGATTGTATAAAAATTTAGACTGACTTGAGGCAGACATACACAGGTGGTTCACGTTGTAAATTCTCAAGACTCCGGTAACCACTTAGTAACATATGGATTGTAAATTCATCTGACCATAGATAGAACTCTTGAAAAATTGATTACCAGTGTTTTTTTTTCATTGCTTAGATGGGTGGACGAGCTCACAGCCCACCTGGTGTTAAGTGGTTACTGGAGCCCATAGACATCTACAACGTAAATGCGCCACCCATCTTGAGATATAAGTTCTAAGGTCTCAGTATAGTTAGAACGGCTGCCCCACCCTTTCACACCGAAACACATTACTGCTTCACGGCAGAAATAGGCAGGTTGGTGGTGCCTACTCGTGCGGACTAACAAGAGGTCCTACCACCAGTAAGGCTGCATAAAATTAAAATTAATAAAATAAACAGAATTGATCACCGGCTCTGCTGCGAACTGTTGCATCATCACCATGAGCACCAATAAACATAATAGCTTTTTGTAAAAANACCCTTTCACACCGAAACACATTACTGCTTCACGGCAGAAATAGGCAGGTTGGTGGTGCCTACTCGTGCGGACTAACAAGAGGTCCTACCACCAGTAAGGCTGCATAAAATTAAAATTAATAAAATAAACAGAATTGATCACCGGCTCTGCTGCGAACTGTTGCATCATCACCATGAGCACCAATAAACATAATAGCTTTTTGTAAAAATCGAGGCTGCGTATAAACAACATATTTGGATTTATATTTTCAATTGAACAGAGCACATATGTATATATAGTGTCTCGAAACGTGCGGATGAATAATTTAATTATTTAATAAAATTAAATAATAAAATTGAACAATAAAATTATTTACGATATTCATGACGGTAAAGCACGTTTTTAATGAAATAAATGTAAATGTATTTAAACCGCAGTTTTTATCGTATGTCGATAAATAATACTGAGAAGAAAATATTTAGGAGGCACTATTTAAATGTAGACCGTAATACTTATGAGATTTGCGTAAGCTATAAATAGAAGTAGGCTTTTTACCATTAGACTAATCGCAAAATCGTCACCTACTTTCAACATAATATCGGTATCTCAGTAGAATTCTATGACAGCCATGACTTTCAAAACGGAATGCTCATGGGTTCATCTGCCTCGTGGTACATATAGGCTGAGGGTACTTACAATGTTATACCTTCATCGTGATGTTGGTTTGTGGAAACATGTTAATTACGTATATTCTTAAAAATTTGGTACTCATTGGCTATTTACTCATCACTATTCGGTTTTATCCATGGACGTTACTTTGCACACACAACTGCCATTACATTTTGCTTCGACAATATCGGCCGAAGGAAAAGATTTTTCTTAATTAATCTCTCGGGACGTAATTAGTTATGATGCTATTAAATAGATGATATTTAAAAAAACAGTAAATCATGAACGGCTTCCCGCATTTTTCCTATTATTTTTCCGTCCACCTAAATGATCAAATCGATTTTGAAGTTGTATTACAAAAAACGGGGAGACAACAGCACAAGCCGCCAAAAAAAATACATTTTGTGAAGTTTGTAGACATAACGCAGTGTCAGTTATAGTAACACATAATGGCTTTGATGTCGAAGATAAGGACTTGCTTGGGATAAAGTCGAAGCCATTGAAAAAGTAGGGTGACACTGTCTTCCTATTATTTAGGGTTCAAGACAACGGGATACCAAATTTGTGAAACACCTTTTGCTATTAATATCAGTCATAAATGCTAAATGTCTTCACTGATAGCACGCTGATACTTAAAGTTTTTGCGACTCTTTTATGGGTTTCGTGATATTTACTAAAAGCATTTGCAAATAAAAAATCTTCACGACGTAAGTAATGTAAACAAGTCTTCACATTTTTTCCTACCTTTGTTTTTTCCTACCTAAGCTGATAGCCTTGAGAGGTTATGTCAGCGTAACCGGGAGAGGCTTTTCACTGTCAATTTTTTTCAAATTTAGTTATCGATTTAAAAATAACTCAATACGTAGTGGACCGTGGAATAACCTGAAATCGAAAAAACCTTATATTACTGATCAAAAATCAACGAATCTCAAATTTATTAAATTATTGGGCGTAGATTCTCATCCACACAGCAAGGTGACAACCATGTATAGTTCGCCAGCAGTCGGCTGCTTGGGGAACACTTCATAAAGCCGATGATAATCATAAAATACTTTTTGATGGAGAATAAAAAGATCTTATAAATCTTCAATTCACGTAAATACGCCCGAAAAGCCAGAGCGGCTTATCTCGCATCGCGATATCGAATCTGTGGAATTACATCCGTTGGATCGTGAAATGGAACCTCTGGGGGCGTTTTAAACACCTTCCATACGTCATGGTGCTCTAGTAGTGTTTTTTATTTCATAAGACGAACACTTATGACTTAACTTCTTTTATGTGGAACTGATAGACATTACACAGATAAATCAGGTTGTCTCAAGGTACTTGGTACTTTACTGGTGGTAGAACCTCTTGTGAGTCCGCACGGGTAGGTACCTCCACCCTGCCTATTTCTGCCGTGAAGCAGTAATGCGTTTCGGTTTGAAGGGTGGGGCAGCCATCGTAACTATACTCAGACCTTAGAACTTATATCTCAAGGTGGGTGGCACATTTACGTCGTAGATGTCTATGGGCTCCAGTAACCACTTAACACCGGGTGGGCTGTGGGCTCGTCCAGCCATCTAAGATTAAAAAAAAAGTAACCTCATTTGTCAAGGTTAGAAACCTTGAGATAACGAAGAGGAAATTTTGTGGTGAAAGCCTCATTAAGTCAATACGGTAATCCTACCCTTTAAAAATGCTTAAAGAAATCATCAAGTTGATTGTTTTTCGCGGAGCCTGAAGTGTCTGTGGCCGGACAAGTTCACAGAGTTGGTTTCAATTAGGACGCGTGAATCGGCGTTTACTTTCGTTATGGCTTCTCAAAATATTGCAATTTAGCGTTTTTATCTATAGACAAAAGAATTACATCAGAGTCTACAACAAAAAGATTCAACTTCAAAATTACTTTCACAAATTTTGGAAAGAGGCTGTCGTTTTGTTTCAAGTTTCAAATTTTCAAACCCCTCAAACTTCTGATAATGTTTCCATTCCGTTCCAATCGATAAAACGTACAAAACATCATGAGGTACAGCCAGAACTTCGTTCATTTCCGCTCATTTCTGCTCTCTTAGTACACTTGAGGCTTAAAGTTAGGTCTATGTCAATAAAATCCGTCTGAAAACTTGAGCCATTACCGTGAACTCGTCAGTTAATGGAGCACAGTCAAATATCTTCGTTCATTTCATTACCTACCTTTTACTTCGGTTAATTACAAGTGTAACGAATATGTTCTTGTTCTGTTAGTATTGACGCTTGAAACATTTCATTCATAGTTTTATTATTAATTCATGTTATAAATTAACACAATTTTTTTTATTGCTTAGATGGGTGGACGTGCTCACAGCCCACCTGGTGTTAAGTGGTTACTGGAGCTCATAGACATCTACAATGTAAATGCGCCACCCACCTTGAGATGTTGGTTTTAAGGTCTCAATGTAGTTACAACGGCTGCCCCACCCTTCAAATCGAAACGCATTACTGCTTCAAATAGGCGGGGTGGTGGTACCTACCCGTGCGGACTCACAAGAGGTCCTACCACCAGTGATATCATTTTTATCATTATCATTTGTATAATGATTTTTTTAACTGATAGTTTGCAATAGATAAATTGAAAACACAGATCTGCGTTCACTAGACCGTTTGCGCAATGAGTACTTGTGCGCCCATAATGCGAGCACGATAATTAAAAAACTTTCAAGATGATTTTCATTACACCTTCTGCCCATTTCTGTTCCCCTAGTGCTACACGTTTCTCACATACGTAACAAAGTTCGGCTGTGAGGAAATTGTTCACTTATATACTTATATATTTGGAAGAATACGAAGTTTTTAGCCTTATCGTTCCTTGGAGATTTTAGGAATACGATTTTATTGAATCGTGTCTTTTTGTGTCTATTTTTGTCTTTAATCGCAATGGAAACGGTTTTCCTTTATAGGAGTTACATTATGAACTGTGTTTCACTTATTTATTACTGGCTCTAGAATTTTCTGAGCAAGCCAAATAACAGCACTATACTGGCATATTTTTGTGTCAAATCAGTATAGTTTTTAATTAGGGTTTTGAAACTGCGAAACATTAAATAAAAAAAATGTTTGTATGTAAACTAGCGACATCTTGTAGCGGATGCCCCTAAACTTATATGTTGTTAAAGTTAAGTCATTTAATTATTGTATAACTAAACACAGAAAATAAAATAAAAAAATATAAATCTAACAAGTCTTTATTTTTTACAGACAAATTGATTAAATTTCATAAATTTTTTGGTTTTTAAAAATTTACAAAATCCTTCGTTTCAAAATAAAAATATAGGTCGTGTGTTACTGCCATCAACAGAAGCAATGAGAAACTAACCAAAGCGAGACCATCTAGTGGCCGCCGCCCGTAAACATTTTTGTTGAGTGCTTGAGTTGCCTATAACTAAATTATGTGCATTATCTATGTTTTTATCGTTGTCCATATTGTACGTAAATTTAGAATTTCAAAAACGAAAATTATTAGAAATAAAATTAAGCTAAGTTAAAGTAATAGTGCTGTACCAGGATAACATAAAACCAAAGAAGTATACGCACAACGCTCACAAGCACGTCACAGAGGTCGCGTTCTCGAGCCCTGGCTGCTTTTTACAGAACAAACATGAGCCAAGTGCACTCTCCGCGTATGATGACGTGCCCGGGATATTCATGATGCGAATTTACAAGTGTGCGGAAAATACTTGTCACGAATAATGTTAATCAAGAAACAACAGTATGACATCTTATACCTTTAAACGAGCAATTCTTGTATATATAATATATATAATCTGAATCTCGGAAACGGCTCCAACGATTTTTATAAAATCTAGTATACAGGGGATTTCGGGGGCGATAAATCGATCTAGCTACGATTTATTTTCAGAAAATATTGTTTTATTCGTGTTTTCAATAATCAACTTTATCGATAATCAACTTTATGACTCTTCCCGACATCTATTGGCGAATAATAATAGTATTTTTCATAATTGAGAGCAAGACACAATAACACTAAGGCTATTTCAGCAGATGGCGTTGTTAAGCCACCCGAAGCCAATGAGTGTTTGGTTTAAGGTTAGACCAAGAAAATGAATTGTTTATTTATATTATTTGTGTCTTTTTAACTCACGTGTTCACTTAAAAATGCCGCTTGTTTGTCGATAGAGCTGGCACAATGACACGCACTCACGAACTGCGTGACCTGGACGTGGTGCAGGAATTTGTGTACTTGGGGTCATTAATATCCAGTGACAGTGATTGTGACAGGGAGGTGGTCAGGAGGGCCCAGATGTCAAAGTCAACCGTGAAGCGATTGGAGAAAATTTGAAGAAATCGCAGCATAAAAAAAAACTAAGATAAAGCTCATGAGAACCCTTATCTTCTCCATATTCTTGTACGCTTCTGAGACGTGAACCCTCAAGACCCGTACCCGATCGAGAATTGACGCATTTGAAATGTGGTGTTGGCGCAAAATGTCGGGCGTATCATGGACGGAGCGCCGAACAAATGTGTCAATTCTCGAGGAGCTAAACGTCAAGACCCGTTTATCTACAATCTGTACGCAGCGTCTCCTCAAGTACTTCGGACACGTGGCCCGACAAAATCCTGAGAACTTGGAAAAATTAATAGTTGTAGGTCACGTGGAAGGAAAGGGAAGTCGAGGAATATTGCCAACCAGGTGAACGGACATTGTCAAGGAGGCCACAAACACCAGCGTCCCGGGCGCCATTAAGCAGGCCGAATGCAGGCAACATTGGAGGAAGCTGGAGCAAAAACTGGACCAATGTGGTCACGACCCTCAGTAGTGAGGAAACGACAAAGAAGAAGTTCACTTAAAAATGCCTAAAGGATCTTGGGATATTTCATAATTTTATCAATATGTAATTCATATTTGAATATAAAATATTTTTTTAAAAACAACAATTTATCGAAAACAAAAAAAAAACGAGAA